TATATATAATATTTGATCAAGACTAATTACATCAATATTAAAAGAAAGAACAAATGTAGTTGATTAATAATGTTAATACTTGATCTATTATTTACAGTTATGGCTCATAATAGATACATAAAAAATTATATTAAACGTTTGTGTAATTCTCACCTCATATTTAATCCTTAAAACTTAATTTAAGACAAGTTTTGGAATACATTTATGTCTTATATCAATAAAACATTATTTATATAAATATTATTTTTTAATCACACTAATTTTATTTTATTTTTATAATTAATTCATGTAACGTAAAAGATCAAAACAATCGGCTGAAAAGATACTTTTGCAAATGCATTACTTTAGAAAATTATCTACATTCAAGTCGATTGTAATCTTATTCTATAGTAATGGAATGTTAAATAGAAATATTGTTCGTGTTTATTTCTTTTATTTTTTATATATATTTTTGTATATAATCTGCATTAGCCCGAATAAAGTTGAGGGTCAACGATAGTGTCGGTCATTGTGTCAGCAATGCAGGGTAATGCATGTATTTAATGTTTGCTGGTCGAGCACCATCCCTCTATGTTAGCTTGTTTGCACACGTAATTGATGTTTGACAAGACGCGGTGACACGCGTGCCGACGTCGTGTTTGTCACTGCACGCGCGTTAACCTTTTTACCATGAGAAATAAACGGCACACTTAGATATGTGTGTGTGCGCACGCATTTATTTCTATATAAATTAATGAGCTCAATTCGCAGTTTAATGCAATTAAATCCGTGTTTCATGATTTGATATTTTAAATATGTGCATTCCAAAACAGCTACTTAAATTAAACGGAAATATAAAATTAAGAGCCACAGTTGCTTAATGTAATCTATCTATGGAATATTCTTATCAACAATATAATAAAACACAAAATAAAAAATAAATTGTCAATCATATCAATTGATTTTATAATACTCTCTCTTAAAGAACTATAACAAATTCCTTTAATCATTGGCCAGTTTTATGTTAAACAATTACATTTGAATTTTCTTGGCGTAAATTGCCACTCTGCAACACCATTAAATCAAAGCGACGATTTCAACCCCGACAAATTAGAATCCTTTACCGAAGGAGTTTTAAACGGTGATATTTCGTGTCGCACAAGCGTAACATCGCCTCTCATCTATCTAATTGCACGGAATATATCGAGAGAGAGAGAGAGAGAGAACGTTCTAGACGGTGCTACATGAAAGAAAACCGCTCCAACAAAGTACATGCTACATTGTA